ATTTTTTTGGTTGCAGCCATCATTGTTGTTTGGCGGGCCCGGGCTGGGGATTCGAACCCACCACCTTAGGTGTACGTGGCTGGCGCCTTAGCTGCTTGAGCTACAGGCGCCAAGCCAAAAGCAGCTCTTTTCCTTGTAAAAGACACACACACAAAAAGTATTTGTAGAGAAATATTAATTGTGTTATCTCTGGGTAGTAGGATATAGGTGACTATTTCTTCTTTTTGCCTATTTCTTTTCTTTAAGTTTTCTGCAATGAACCTGTATTACTTTGAGTTAAGAAATAAACCTCGAGCTATGATTATTGAAAACCACAACAGATCTAGCACTGCACATGTCTTTTGGGGCAGCCACTACAAGGGCAGACGGGTCACTTAAAGCAATGGCATTGGCATCTTCCCAGAAAGTCACTGGCTAAGGCTGGGTGATCCTCAGAGGGCTGGCTCAGGCACTTCCCCACCTGATTCCTTGAGATTCTGAACTTCAGAACTTAGGATAATGCCAGACATCCTCCTGGGTTCAAAAGATCTTGTTTGGGCATCAGGGGTCTGAGGAAGGGGAAGAACTTACTGCCTCACGAAAAGTGGTCCTCTGGAAGGCCCAGGTGAAGCTCATGGTAGCGTTCTCCTCAACAATGTAGGTATAGGACTGTTTGCCTTTGGAACCTTTCCACGTCTCCACGGGAGTGTTGGTCCTAGAGTTCACACCCTGAGCCCAGGACAGACAAGTGAAGAGAGTGTGACAGCTGGAGGGGGAGTGGGTGCCCATACTGCTGCCATCCTGAGAGTGATCACAGGTGGTGAGACCCATGGTAAATGGTGAAGTCCCTGAGGGTCAGCCCAGGCCTTTCCTCAGTGGAATCACTACAGGTGGACTTCAGTTATGTTGATGCACCACTGGGCCAGATGGGACCAAGCCTCCCCTGGAAGCCCCAGAACCCTCAGAGAAAAACGTACCACCATGAAGTAGAGCTCACAGTTCACAGAACAGATGGTCTCAAAGACAAATGTGATTCTGGCCACTTCTTTATTCTCTGTGTCCGCCATCACCGACTGTGGAGGTCTGTGGGGACAGGAATGAAAAGTCAGTCCCAGGGGGCAAGAGGTGCTTACTGAAGAGCCCAGACAGCTGCAAAGGGTCTACGGGGGGATGAGATCAGGTTATTTGCACTCTGGAAGGTATGGACTAAGTTCAGTTTTATCCTCCCAGCTACGTGACTTTGACCTAGCCAAGCTGTAATTTCCTCATCTGTAAAATACAGATGATGGCTAGGCACACTGGGAGGCTAAGGAGGGAAGATCCTTTGAGATCAAGAGTTCAAGACCAGCCTGAGCAAGAGCAAGACCCTATCTCTACTAAAAATAGGAAAATTAAGTGGGTATTGTGGCAGGTGCTTGTAGTCCCAACTATTCAGGAGGCTGAGGTAGGAGGATTGTGTGAATACTAGTTTAAGGTTGCTGTGAGCTAGGCTGACACCACAGCACTCTAGCCTGGGCAACAGAGTGAGACTGTCTCAAAGAACAAAAAATGGAGGTGATAATATATGTTTATTCACTGACCTCCCATCATTGTGGTAAGATCCCAAGGCATCTATATATAGATATTATAAAATGGAATATATAAAATGGAATATGACCTCACCCAGGGGTCAAGTGTGTGCCTATATAGTCCCAGTTACTCAGGAGGCTGAGGTAGGAGGATCACTTGAGTCAGAAGTTCAAGATCCACCTGGCCAAGATAGTAAGACCTTGTCTCAAAATAAATAAATAAATAAAGGCTGGGTGTGGTGGTTCATGCCTGTAATCCTAGCACTCTGGGAGGCCAAAGCAGGTGGATTGCTTGAGCTAATGAGTTCAAGACCAGCCTGAGCAAGAGTGAGACCCTGTCCCTAAAAACAGCCAGGCATTGTGGCAGGTGCCTATAGTCCCAGCTACTTGGGGATTGCTTGAGCTCAAGAGATTGAGGTATTGAGGTTGCTGTGAGCTATGCCATGGCATGCTACTGAGGGTGACACAGTAACACTATCTCAAAAAAAAAAAAAAAAAAAAGAAAGAAAGAAAAGCCAGGCTGGGTGGCTCTCACCTGTAATCCTAGCACACTGGGAGGCTGAGGATTGTTTGAGCTCAGGAGTTCAGGACCAGCCTGAGCAAGACAAGACCCCCTGTCCCTACCAGAAATAGAAAAACTAGCCAGGTGTCATGGTGGGCGCCTGTAGCCCCAGCTAGTCAGGAGGCTGAAGCAACAGGATGTCTTGAGCCCAAGAGTTTGTGGTTGCTGTGAACTATGATGCCATGGCACTCTATCCAGAGCAACAGAGTGAGACTCTGTGTCAAAATAACAACAACAACAACAACTATATAGCCTCAAGCCAAGTACGGTCTGTAGACTAGCAGCATGACCATCTTCAGGAGCTTAATAGAATCGCGGAACCTCAGACTCCTCTCCAGACCCAGTGGATCAGAATCTGCATATTAACATGATTCCCAAGTGATTCATGTTTTTTTTTTTTTTTTGAGACAGAGCCTCAAGCTTTCCCCCTGGGTAGAGTGCCGTGGCATTACAGCTCACAGCAACCTCCAACTCCTGGGCTCAAGCGAGTCTCTTGCCTCCGCCTCCCAAGTAGCTGGGACCACAGGCGCCCGCCGCAACGCCCGGCTATTTTTTGGTTGCAGCCGTCATTGTTGTTTGGCGGGTCCGGGCTGGGGATTCGAACCCGCCACCTTAGGTGTACGTGGCTGGCACCTTAGCCGGTTGAGCTATAGGCGCCAAGCCCTGATTCATGTTTTAAAATCCGAGAAGCACTGCTATCATAAGATGCAAATTGCCTACATTTACTCAGCCTCTCACTCTCCAGCATAGTGGGAGCTCTGCCAGGGTGAAAGGAGCAGAATTTGTGGTATCTTCAGCAAAGTTCTCAGGTTGCTCCCACCTTTGGGCAAGAGAGAGGCAGGCCAAGTGGGATGGAGGGTGGGGAGTGAGGCAGCACTTTACTACAGTAATCAGATTTCCTAGTTGAAAAGTGCCTTTTAAATGTTACTTGAAAAAAGCCTAAAAGGTTTGCTCACCTTGCAAACACAGGATATATCTGGTCAGCTCTTGGTGATGTGGGTTAAGGAAAGGGAAATGAGTACCACCATCCCGGGGGTAGAAAGTAAAGACCCCGGGGAGGGAATGGAGAAGTCAAACTGGCAACAGGGAAGCCTGTTCAGTGGTTCCCCCTCATCTCCAAAGCACAGATGGGCAGAAGAGTTCACTTTGGCTGTTGAAATCCGTTCATGGCTTCTCCTTTGGTTTTAGCCATTTGCTTAAAGTCTAAGGCCCTCCGGGTCCCAGCCCTTCTCTGCATAGTTGTGGTAGCCAATGAGCTGAAAGAATCATCTAAACCTCAGGTAGTCCTAAATCAGAGGCTTGTTTTATAGATAAGGGGCCTAAAGCCTGTACAGGCAAAAATGACATCCCCAAGTTCACAGAGCCAGTAAATGGCAGAGTTCAAGTGCCTGTCTTTCAGTCCAGTGTACTTTTCCACTCTACCACACTGCCAGGAGTAATTTTTTTTAAGTGGCAAACAAATTATTTGCTGTTATTAGGTCCTCTTGAGATATAAGGACAAATATGACAATAAGAACAATCCCTCCCAATCTTCTTGTCCCAAATAAAGATGGATGGTCTATGGGCTATTTGGAGCCTATTTTTGTTAAGTTTTCTTTCTTTTTTTTAATCTTCTCTGATTTAGTGAGGAGGAAGAATTTGAGTATCAGGTGGCCAGTCGATAGCCTGAGAGAAAATTCATGAGCCCTCATGCCCACTTGGAAAACTACACGGTGCCCTAGGCTCTGACACTGAAAGGAAACTCAGCTCCTGAAGCCCTGTCCTCTCCAACATTCCAGAGTGCGGGGGATTCGGGTATGCCCAAGGTGGCCCGGATTTCCCCTTAGTCTTGTAGTCCTCACCTAAATCCTGGTACAACCAGAGTGAGAATCATGAAGTCATTGTCTGAGGCTCCAACGGCTGTATAAATGTGATCACCAGCCACCTCCCAGCCTGGAAAAGGAGAGGGGAGAGTTAACGCTCTGGTACTCTTGGGTGCAGGCAAATGTGCACCCAGACGACACCCTGAAAGAGAGATATGGCACCCCATCCTTGGAGGCCTCCAGAACTACTGCTGGACACAAACTATGTTACTTATCCTGCTACTTTGGTCAAAGACTGAAGGTCTCAGAGCAAGACCTTCCGGGTGCATGCTCGTTGTCTCTAGCTCTAATCTTGCATCTGAAAGTTTTGGCAGATTATATGTCCATGAAGAGTACAACTTTCAAGGGAATGCACCAGATAATTAGTTTATTTTTCTCAGATATCACTATTAGGAAGAAAGGAGAAGTTGGAAGAGCAGTGGGAGTGCAGGGAGCTCATGGTAAGGTGAGAGGCAGTTACCTGTCATGCCCTTGTACTCGAAGTTGATCCCACTGAGAACGGTGGTTTCCATGTTTGTGGGCAGCGTGTTCCACCACTTGTATTCAAATCCCACGGCAGGTTCGGTCCCAGCTGGGCAGTGGGTACAATCTGGGGAACCACAGATCGAGGAATTCAGCAGGAAGGCTGCAGCCACCGCGATAGAAGCTGTTGCCCCCCAGCCCGAGGGTACTACTGAGTACTGTTGCACAAAGTTCCAAGTTGACTCAAAAACATTCCGACAACCTGTTTAACTAACTCATGAGGTAAACACTGAGCCTTCATTCCAGAATGCCAACTACCCTACTTGCCCACCAAAATTTTCATTTCAAAACTTAAATGTATGGGCTCAGCGCCCATAGCACAGTGGTTATGGTGCCAGCCACATACACCAAAGCTGGCAGGTTTGAACTCAGCTAAACAACAATGACAACTGCAACAAAAAAATAGCCAGCCACTGTGGCAGGCGCCTGTAGGCACAGCTACTTGGGAGGCTGAGGCAAAAGAATCGCTTGAGCCCAAGAGTTGGAGGTTGCTGTCAGCTGTGACCACAGCACTCTACTGAGGGTGACAGCTTGAGACACTCTCTCAAAACAAAACAAAACAAAACAAAAATCAAATTTTCAAATATATCTTCTAGTCTGATGCATGTAGTTCATATTATTGCCACATTACCATTAATAGATACAGAAGTCCCTCCAAGGCAGCATAGCTCAAGCTGGTCATCCCAACCCCTTAAACCTAGAGAGCATCTCCACTACATGCTGCAAGACTCTGTTGCGAGGCTTGGGTGTCTTCACACCTGAGTCACATTTGCTGCTGGAACTAAGAGGCAGGAGAGTAGTTCCCAAGTCTAACTCTGACCTTCAGGCAGACCGTCTCTCCTCCTGAACTCAGTCCTCAGAGATGTCCTGGCCTTTCTGCTTCCCTTGGAGAGGCAAGGTCCACCCCCCACCAGCCACTCTGAGTGCCCATATGGCCCACCCCATGGTTGATGTAGGGATGGATGTGACATGGGCACAGGATGGTGAGGAGGTTACCAGAGCCGTTGGAGTAGGACCCATATGGGCAGGGCTCGCAGGTGCTATTGTTGGTTTTGAAGAAGCCTGGGTTGCAGGGTGGACATCGGGTCTTCACGCCAGAGGCAGGTAGCTTCACTGCCCCCTCAAGGTCCTCGCCACAGATTTTTGGCATGGCCCATTTGTACATGAGCTGCGTCTGCAGAAACGGATTAAGCACAGCTCAGCCTGTGTGGGATTTAACCCATCTTCAAGACTCTAACTTGAGGATGGGGGCTAGAGGTTTGACGTGGGATTCTGGGCCAGATGAGAGCCCCACCCGGGAACTTGGTGTTGGTCACTGATGGATCCCAAGCGCCAAGCCTAAGTTATTGGTTGTGCTCAACTACCCGCCACATGGATGTTGCCTTGATGAAGAGGGATACATCTAATGAGGACTCTGTGATGGAGGGGCTGGGGCCGGTTGTCTTCAGAGAAAGCTCTGATTCTAATGTAGAGTCTTATTACCATCAAGGTCACAGGAAACGCAGTTGGTGAAAATCACAGAATACGAAAAGGCAAACTATTGAGGCGGCTTACATAACTTCGAGGGAGAGAGGAGGTGGCTAACATGTCCCAATTTTTTCCCCAGGTGATCCAATTCTTTGCTCTGTCATTTACTCAGTAAATATTTATAGAAAGCGGAATACATCTGTGTGCCAGGCCAGACCTGGTGTCTCAGAGACACATGAGACATGGCTCCTGCACTGGGTACAGAAGGGGAAGGGGAAGTGACCCGCAGGAGACCCCGGTGAGTTAGGAGTGAAGCTGGACAGTTCTGTTCTTCCAGTATGCCCATCAGACCAAGTGAGAGGCAAAAAGGCACCTTTACGGACTGCACTGAGGGGATGATGAAAAATCTGTGCAGCATACCGTACTCGGGAAAAGAACGAGTAAGGCCTCCGTCCATTTTATTCAGGTGGGGAAATGAGAAGCTCTTAGGGCACACTGCCACCTCCCCCTGCTCAGCTCAGCCCTCCTCCCCCGTGAAGAGCAGCCAATGGCCGGAGCCCCAAGCTTGCATCTTAACCATACCCTGCCCTGCCTGTCACCTGTCTCCTGTGAGTCTCAGGGACAGGAGGGGGTCTGGAGCAAGAAAACTGACTTGGGCCATCTCCTGGATCAGCACATTCAGCAACCCCAATGCATGGGCCATCTTGGTCCCCAAGAAACCAGAAAGGCACGGCAAAGGTGAGAAGGGCAGTTGCAGGCACCAGCTCCAGGTGTGTCAGTTCATTTAAAAATATGACTTAGAGGGCAGACTGGAATCAGCAGACTGAGCAGAACCAGTGGACACAAGGCACAAAGCTGGAGACCTGCAAGGTGCTGCTGGTGACTGCATGTCACCCCTTAAATCACATGCTGCAGCGTACCTCCTCCCAGCTGGGCTTTGGCTGTGCTGCAAGGTGGGAACATGGCCTGTGGCCTGACCCAGCATCTAAAGGCCCAAGGGTGCTCAGGCCAAGGCGGATGCCCAGGCTGGCAAGCAGCAGAACACACCCTATAGATCTAGAGGGCCTGGGTCTGTGCCTGGTGGCTAAGAGAGTGGGACAGAAAGGAGGAAAGACAGTCATATTTGGTCACATGCTATGAATAGGCGGGAGAAGGGCAGCACCTGTGGCTCAAAGGAGTAGGGCGCTGACCCCATATGCCGGAGGTGGTGGGTTCAAACCCAGCCCCGGCCAAAAAAAAAACAACAACAAACAAACAAACAGACGACAACAACAACAAAATCAACAAAATAGGCAGGAGAAGAGGAGCAGGATTAATCGTGCCCATCTTATTAGTAAGTCAGCTGAGACCAGGAAAATGAAAATAAGTTTTACAGGGTCATACAGAACAGTGGACACTATGGAGCTGAGGCTAAGATGCAACTTACAAGACACACAGCCATTCTCTCTTTGTGAGGGAAGGGAAGGAGGCTCCAAAGAGAGGGAGGGAGGTGGTGGTCAGAGACTGTGATAACAAGTCATCACTGCTGAGGACCAGACATGATTCCATGCTTAATGGCAAAGAGATAATTCAGCCAGCCGCCCGGCCAGCAAACCTTTATGCCCCCTAATAGCCAAGTATTATGCTTAGTGCTGAATGCGGAATTCCTGCCTCTTCATTCCTTCTTCTTGAGAGACTCTGGTTTCGGGTCACGGACAGTTCATCCAGAGTTCCTAACCCAAGACAGATCCCCCTCCTGTGCCCTTGAGCCCATCCTCGCTCATCATCCTCCTTGAACTCACTCCCTATGGTTCACTCTTCTCATCCAGGGGTCTGCTCAAACGTCCCCTCCTCAGAGAGGCCGTCCCTATCCTTTCTGAAACAGCGTCCTCATCGTCTGTCATTCTCGATCTCCTTCTCCTGTTTTCTTTTTTACCTTCCTACTACTTGTTACCATTCAATACATTACACACCCATTGGTCGTCTGCCATCGTCCTCTCTGTTCCCTGAGATTTAAGCTCCATGAGGTCTGGGTGTGCCCCTGGTTTTCTGAACGGATATGTACGCAGTGCTCAGCACGGTGCCCGCACAGAGTAGCTGCTCGCTAAGTAGTTGTTGACTGTCAAAAAGAACAAATGGCCTCCTCCGAGCGGCCTTCTCTGGGCCCAGCGCTGGTCACTCCTCTTCTAGGCTCCCCCAGGGCCCAGTACATCTCTCTGCCTCACTCAGGCTCCTCTCTGTCCTCGCTCAGCCTCCCACACAAGACTGCGGCTCCCTGAGGACAGGAGCGCCCCAGTCACGCCTGAAAGCCCCGCCTGCGCCACAGGGCCTGATGTGCCAGTCAGCACCCAGCAGGTACCTGCCAGTGACAGAGCAGACTAGGAACTGAAAGCTCTTTTCTGAGGCAAAAAGCTTGGGGGAAAGAGAAAAGGGGACTAAACAAGTCAGGCTGCTCTCTCCTGAGCCAGGAAGTAGGAATCAATTCCCCTTGCCAACACAACAGCAGTGCTGAGGGACAAGCCTGACGAGCCCGGGAGGAAGTGAGTGCCTGGGCAGTGCCCAGAGGGGCTAAGCAAATCAAAGCAAGCAAGCAAAAGAAAATGAAACTTTTTTTTTTTTTTTAAACAGAGCACATGTGAATAAGCAGTGAAACAAATGTGGCAAAAACAGTTTCTGACCTGAAAATGAACTAAACCATCTCCTTTCTGCCCCCTGACTAGCCCTGGGGTCACCTCAAAGGTCTGGGGTTTGATCTGGTGCTGGCTTCGCTGACCGCTAGACAGCGGTAAAGCCCAGGGAATGGGAGACAGTCCATGTGGGGCCGAGGGGCTCTATGACCATATTACTCACCTCCCCGTTGGCATCACAGGCTGTGTGTGTGTAGAAATAATCTTTGTCTGTGCAGGCTGGGCGCACTTTGCAGGAGGAGGATCCTTTTTCTAAATTGCCGAAGCAAGAAAAAAATACTTGAAGTCACATGAGAAATTTGGGCTCTTGACCACTTGTTCATCACCCCAGGACTCCCAAGCCCCTGGGGTACATTACCACATGCCCACCCTGTCCCTTGCCCCAGTGGCATCCTTTCCAGATCCCAAAGCCCTGCTCACATGTCCTTTTTCACCTCTCCTGAGTGTGGATGTGAAGGCACTGACCTTGCACTGTGGGACAGGGTATGGAGAAGTGGCCTGGCCAAAGGACCAGCAAGGAGGGGTGGACGTGCAGGTTAGCCTGGAAGAAGGTTAGCTTGGAACCCAAGTTCCTGGAAACCTGCCGTCTTCCAGGCGCCTTAGTCTCCTGACTGTAGGTGTGGATTGTCTTCTCCTTAGGATATTGCTTTCACGCTTTTATTCCAAGCCTTTCTCTGAATTTTCTAACATATGGCTAACATGAAGGTCTATGAAGGTCTTCTACTAGTTTTGAAATTTCTCTCTCTCTCTCTCTTTTTGAGATAGAGTCTCACTCTGTTGCCCTTGGTAGAGTGCCATGGTGTCATAGCTCACACTAACCTCAAATTCCTGGGCTCAAGCAATCCTCTTGCCTCAGCCTCCCAAGCAGCTGGGACTACAAGCACCCACTACAATGCCTGGCTAATTTTTTCCTACTTTTTTTTTTCAGTAGAGATGGGGGTCTCACTCTTGCTCAGGCTGGTCTCGAATTCATGAACTCAAGCAATCCACCTGTCTCAGCCTCCCAGAGTGCTAGGATTACAGGGGTGAGCCACTGCACCCAGCCAAAATTTCTCCTTCATGCAACCAAACTGTACAAAATCCTTGTACTTTCCTTGGACTCCACTTAAGACCCAGGGGTTTTCCCCCCTGCTTTAACCCAAGCATCATAACATTATCTTTAACCCTTGACCTTTGTCTAATGAAAACTGTTCACTATTCATTTCATCCTGCTTGCTGTACTGTCTGTCTCCTGTGTCTGCTAGTATAGCTCTACGTTAACCGGTGAACCTCTAGATAGCAAGAACTATTTCAATAAGTCCCTCTTTAAAGCAATGGCTTTCACCTTTTTTGAATTTAGAAACTTTTTTGAAAATTTGAAGAAAGATGTTTAATCCACATAAATCAAATTTTAATTTTTTTCCCAGGGAACTGACCTCTAGAATAAAAACATTGCCTTATAGAGTACACATCACAATTCTACAATTACAACTACCAGCACTGCTTCTGATACGACTACTGTGTTACCTGCAGATAAGAATTTAATAATGATAATATTGTCTCTCTATATAGTAGAACCTCCATAGCTGACTACCTCCCTATATTAACCACCTCCTTAAGTTGAGCTAATTTTTTTTTTTTTTTTT